TGGACTCTGACAGTACTATTCTGAGTTCTACTTTCTTCACATTGTGTATGTATGCACACACACACATGCTCCCTATTCCTATAGTCTTTAAATGATTATCCCAGTCTCTAATCTATCCTTCATAGTGCCATCAGAAAAATGACAGCATAGCATAGTTCTTTCTAAAAAAAAAAAAAATAGTTCATGACTTTCCCCAGACTTTAACTGTCAGTTACTTGTTTACAATAGATAAAGGTAAACAGTTTAAACTATGAGGATCTTCATTATCTGACTATTCCTTAGCAATACAGTTCTTGGTGCTTTGGCTCATGTGGCTCTCTTTCTTTTTTTATTTTTATTGATTTTTAGAGAGATTGAGGAAGGGAGGGTTAGAGAGATAGACATAGCAATGAGAGAGAAACAATGATTGGCTGCCTCCTGCATACACCTCTACTGGGGATTGAGCCTGCATGTGGCCTGACCGAGAATCAAATTGGCAACTTCTTGGTTCCTGGGTCGATGTTCAACTGCTGAGCCTCACTGATCAAGCTCTCTTGCTTTTTGGGAAGCCCATGTCCCAACCCATAAATCTACCTGAGTTAGATTTAATTCACTTCTCTCCTTCTCCAGTTTTCCATGTGTACCACTCACCCAGGGTAGAAGTAAATGTCTTATCCTTCTAAAACGTATAGTATAGAGATTGGAGTACAGGCTCTGAAATTATTCTTAGTCCTATATGCTGGCTCTAACAATTATGGCGTGTGAGATCTTAAAATCCTCTGTGCCTCAGTTTCCTCATTTGTAAAACAGGGTTAGAAATTGTACCTACCTACCACATGAGGCTATGAGCATTAAAACAATCATGTAAAAGCATTTAAAAACAATTTCAGGCACATAAGTACTTACTGAAAGTTACTTATTATATCTGTTCTAAATAAACCTTTATTATAATTCCTCTGACACTTTTTGCACTCATTTGCTTGTGCATAATTCTCTCCCTGTGGTATTTTAAGCTTTTTGATGACAAGGACTGTGTATGATTCACCTCTGGGTGCCCAGAGAATAGCTTTCAGTCTGGCTTACCAAAATATTTCAATATATATTTATGGCTGAATGAATATGGGCATAAAAGTGGAAAGCATATGTGCCATTTTTACTCTATAGAAAAAATTCTGCTTCAGTGGGAAACTCTGCTTTGGTTACAGCATTCCCCTCTGGGTTATTCAATTCTGATTTTATGGAGATGCTAGGTCTTTAACTGCCTTTGAACTATTTTCTAATTCTGCAAATTGTAGATACTTGATAGCAATAAATAACAATTTTTATTTTGGGTATACAAATAAATTCAGAATTGTAGAGATTCTATTGATTCCTTTCCCTCACTATAAAAGTAGCTAAATGTTGCTTCCATTTGTACATTCATTTCAACATTCTTGACCTAGAAATTATCTTTGGAGTCTTCTTTAAAATTCTTGTAACTTCTAATCAACTCCTTCATTACTGTTAAATTAAATGAAACCTTTAGCACATGTTCATTTGATATTTTTATAGCATCATGACTATATATATTTAAAAAAATTCTTTAACATTATCTAACACTTGTCTAATGATGATCGTGGATTTTTAAAAATATTTCATGAGATGGTCTGAATAGGACACACTTTAGAGATGACCTGAAATCATCCTTTCTAGAAGATATCAAGATTATCATTCAAGATTATTAAAACACATTAGTCATTCAGGGCCAACTTTGAAGCCAAATAGGAGGCCTGACTTCAGGATCTCTGTGCTAAAATTTGCACAACTCTTCTAACAACTCATCTCCTCTTCCCATGAGGCAGAGAACAAAGACAGTTTTTTTTTTTTAAAGCACGTGGAGAATCATATGGGGCCCTTATGGGGCTCTGGGCATATGGAATCAGATATGTGAGAATAGTCTTGAGGATTATAAAAAGGAAGATTTGGCAGAATAATAAAGGGAGGAAAGTTATACCTCCAACACCCTTTCAATCTTTATAAAATTATAACTATTACTAAGATCATTTAACCACAAAGGAGCCCACCTTAATTGGATCACTAACTTCTGGAAAATGACAAAACATAAATGATGAAAAAATACTAAAGGAAACCAGGTCACATTAGGATTGGCCAAACACAAAAGTGTAATTTGGACTAACTGAAGAAAATAACCAGCCTGTGTTAATCGCATATCTTACTTATGGCAAACTTTGACAAGAAATGAAAGATTATGAAGGTCCAGAGTTACAGAGTAAGATCTGTAACTTGCCTTGTTTTAATGAGAAAATTCAAGTAATTTGTAATCAACACATTAATTGTATGCAAATGTATGTGGTTAAATCTGCTCTGAAACAACAGTTTTCCTTAATTAAATTAAGCCTCTGCTCCTTACATTTTGATTACATTATTTGTTTGCTTCACAGATCAAATGTAAAACCTTTAGTTATCAGTATAATTAGAGAGATTTTGTCATAATACAGAAATGAAGATGAAGTACTAATCAAGGAAAAATGGGAAAAAGGATGCTGAATTTCTCATGAGATTTTCTCTGTTTTATAAAAGTTTTTATTTTCCTCCTGTTTAAAGATATAACTATTGATGCTTATTATTTCAATGAATGTTAGGTTTAAAAGATTTATCAGTGATCAGTAGGATTATATAGGTTGGCTAACAATTGTATAAGGTCAAGGACCATAGCAATAAGAATGATTATTTGTTGAGAATTTACAAAGGATCAGTCTTGTACCAAACACCTTATATGTAAGTTCTCATAAGAACACTCTTTAAATTAAGTAAATTAAGTAAAACACCTTTTCCTTCCCTTGCTGGGAACCAATTCCAACATGTAATAATTACAAGAGTTTCACCTTGTTGGGTAGCTCCACAAGGGTGAGCCACATATGTAGTTTACCTGTTAGAAATGGCTAAACTGGCACTTCCCCCAAACCTGAATAGGATTGTTAACATCCAGACAGCTCAGGGCATTTTATTGCCTCCTTTTGGCCAAACACCTGAACAGCTGTAGGCTATTCCCCAATCTGACAATATTCTTTGATAATCTACACTTTGAAGTGTATATCTCCACCTTGCCTTAGGACAACTTGTAATAATAATAGCAGGGTCCTGAGTGGAGGAAAGAGCCTTTAGCTCCTTTAGTTGAAGATCCTCTGACCCCCAATGCCTTTTAAAATTATCTTTCGTCTCCAGAATTCTTAATCATCTATATGCGCAGCCCCTTTCTCCAGAATTTTGAATCCTTTGTAAGGCTGCGCATAGAACCCCAGCATTATGGTGCTCGAAAGAGGGACACCAATATTTCCTTACACTATTTTATGGCTGGCTTTTTAGTTTTCATTACTGACATTCTTAACACCTTGTCCTTTTCCTTCATGGCACTCATCATACTTTGTAAGGACAAACTGATTTGTTGCTTTTTTGCTTTGCATCTATATTCTGCTAGACAGTAAACTCTACTAGGGACACTGACCATACTTGGTCTACTGACCATAATATACCAGGAATATAACACTTTATAGGCACTTAAAAATATTTGTGGGATAGACAAAAGAACAAAGTTTGTAAGCTAGTAAAAAGCAGATTCTTAATGTCAGACTCAGAATTCTGAAGACAAAGCCCATGCTTTTGCCAAGAGTACTTGGCTTGCAACTCCTCCTCTTTGGAGAGCTCATTATCTCTCTATGCCCTTTTACCTCACAGTCTCTCTGATGGAGCCTTCTTGTCTTCCCTGCAAGCTGAGCTGCTTTGTACGTTACCATTTCTAGAAAAAAGTTGTGAAGCTCTCATTCTTGAAAACATTGTGTCAATGGACACTGTTTCCAGCCTGCTGTTTGTTAGCATAATTGGAACCTGCCCTCCTCTTGGGAGGGCTGAGTTGTGCAAGGTGACTTCATGATGGGCAATGCTAACATGAAAGCACTCAAAAGATGTCAAATAGTTAGGCAAGTTGGGGAAGGATTTTAGTTAAGAGATAAAAGAGATTAAAAAAGGATGCTGACAAGTTAGAATTCAGTTTTTGGTTTTTCTACTTTCACATTAGGTTAAAATATTGCAGCAGGTTTAATAAAAGGAAGCACTGGATTTTGTGCCAAAACAACCAGAAAATCTCCACTCATGGTGACAATGAGAGAAAGTTGGGGAACCGTTATTTCATTGACAAAAAAAAAAAAAAAAAAAAAAAAAAAAAAGATTATTTTTCAAAATCATGCCCTCTCTCTTTTCTCTAGAAATTCCTTATGAAAAAAGGGAATAACAGCATTTATTTACTCTTCTATTCACTCAATATTTGCTAGCCACCATTTATGGTATGAGAGTCATAACGTTGAAGAAATATAGGCCCAGGTTACATTCATGCTAGTAGAAAGAAAATACAAATAGACAAATAACTACAATAGAAAATGCTTAAATTGAGTTATGGAATAAGAAATTAGAAGAAAGATACCTATTTTAAAAATATCTCATGTGCTGGCAATGATATGGAGCAAAGGGAATCCTTGTGCACTGTTGGTGGGATTGCAGATTGGTGCAGGCACTATGGAAAGCAGTATGGAGTTCCATTAAAAATGGAACTGCCTTATGACCCAACAATTCAACTTCTGGGAATATATCCAAAGAAACTTGAAACACTAATTTGAAAGAATATATGAACTGCTATTATAATAATGTTGTGGTCACAAGGAAACCCCTCTAATGTTTGAAATAATTATTGTGTGAAACGTTTGCTGTGTGGAAACCACAATACTCATAACTTCCAAATTGATGAACACCCCACTATCTTGATGTAAAAGCCCTGAGCCCTTAAAGTGTAAATGCCCTGCTCCTAGCATAAGGCATATCATCTGGACACAAATTGTTGAATAGTGGCTGTATAAGCATGGGGCCCTTCTTCAGTCCACGTCTCCTGCCCGATAAGAGGACAACTCCACGTCACTCCATAAGATGAGCCCCTGACTGCTCTGCTGTGTGAGCCTGAACCAACTGCAGCCGCCTACCTGTCTCTGTTTTTGTCGTCCATCTTTTGGTGTGCATCGCCGGGTGGCCTTTGCTGGAGCCTAGGACCCACTAGGAATAGGTAAATAAACCCTGTGTGATCTCATACTATTTCTGTCTTGTGTGCTCTAGTGTTCTGGTTCGGCTCAGCTGTCTAGATACTGAAGCACCAGGGGATAGGCTGTTATTGCTGACTCCTGGTCACCTGCGTTTGTCCCACTAAGTCTAGAGTCTAGACAGATAATCACTTACTTGGGGCACATTTGGGACAACTGCTGTGTTTACTGCAGTGTTATTTATAATAGCTAGATCTGGATGCAGCCAAAGTGCTCATCAGTAGATGAGTGGATAAAAGAGATGTGCTATATTTACACAATGGAATACTACTAAATAGTAAAAAAGGAGGTCTTACTTTTTGCAGCAGGATGGATGGACCTGGAGAGTTTATGCTAAGTGAAATAAACCAGTCAGAGAAAGACAAATACCATATGATTTCACTGATATGTGGAATCTAATGAACAAAATAAGCATAGACACAGAGAAGAGAGTGGCAGCTGTTAGAAGGAAGGGGGATTGGAGGGCTGGGTGAAAAAAAGTGAAGTGATTAAGCAAAAAACAAACAAAACAACAACTCACAGCCACAGACAACTGTATGGTGATTGCCAGAGGGAAAGGGGGTGGGGGAAGGTAGAAGGTTAATGGGGGATAAATGGTGATGGAGGAATTAGCTTGGGGTGGTGAACACAAAATACATATATGGATAATGTATTATAAAAATGTATACCTGAAACCTATAACATTTTATTAACCAACATCACCCCAATAAATTTAATAAATAAAATTTAAAAAGCCAGAAATTTAAAGGCGAAATGTGGTGGGAAATTCAACCAGGCAAGTAAGTTTGTAAAAGTTACTTTTTTATAAGCAACAAATCATTTCTATACCCAATTATTCTAAGCAAAAAATATTTCTAAATCTCATATGAGAGGTATCATTTGAGTTAAGAATCAAACAGATCTGATTGTATCAATGAAATTGTTGATATGAGGAGAATATTTGAGATAGGGAGAATAGAAGGAATAAAAAATAACAGTTGGTAAAATCAGGAAAAAGGCAAAAAGTCCAAACTGGCTGTCATATTGGCATTAGTTAGGAAGTTCTAGGAATGAAAATTAGAAAGAAGCATTGGGAGACTGGTGTTGAAGGGCCTTGAATGCTCTTCTAAGGAATTTATATTTTGTTTAAGAAACAGGAATAATTGACTAAGTCATTGGCTGTTGATGATACAGCCCCTCTAGCCCCTCTTTCCTCCTGAAGGTCAAGGGGAGAAGTTGAATGTTTCATGCCAGCCGTTGTCTCTGGCAACTGGCCATCCTCATGAAGCTATTTAGGGCCCCCTTCCCCACCACCAGTCATCACATTAGCATACATCAGAACCCTGGCCCAGTTCCTGAAGCATGTCAATATTTAAGGCTTAACAGTGGAGTAAGTAGTTAGGACCGAAAAGCAGTTAAAAGTGAGTTAAGATGAAAACTAGCAAAGTAGTGTCCATGAATAAAAGGAGGAAAAGTGTCTTCAGAAGAGAAGAGAATGGGACGAATACCAAGTGCTGTTGAGAGGTCTAGTGAGCTGACAACTCTCAGCAGTCACCACTGGTGTGGGCAGTATGGAGATTACTGCTATCAAAGAGAGACCAGTCTTAGTCACATGGTGAGAACAGAGTCCAAATGGAAAGGGCTGAAGAAGAAATGAAAAACATGAAAGTGAAATCCCTCACTTTAGGCAATCAGTTTAAGTGTCACAGGAAAGGGAAGCACTCAGTATATGGAAGCTCCGATAACATATAGTTCTCCTGGAAATTTCAGAGGGATCTGGAAATTTGACCCCATATTAATTAAATGAAAGGGTTTCTGACCATTTGTACAGTTAAGATTATGAGTTTGTATCATGCCTTCTCTTTAGGTAATCTCATAAAGTACTTTGGTTTGAAACGTCTATGTAGCAAGGATGCCCAGATTTATATGTCAATTCCAGATTTATATATTCAACTGTTCACCTAACATCTCCACTTGAGTGTCTGATAGGTGATCTCAAATTGTAAGAATCCTTCTCCCCCAGTTTTCCTGCATCTTGGTAGCTTCACTGTCTATGAAGTTGTTCATGCTGCTGTCTGGGTGGCTTCCATGTTCCTCTATTTCGCCCATCCCCAATGTTGATTTCTCTTCTAAAACTGTCTTGAATCCAGTCACTTCACTTCCTCAGCATGACTATCACCTTAGATCAACTACCATCATCTTCTGCCTAAGTTACTTTATTATGTCACTTTAATTGTTTAAAACCTTCTGTATTAATTTATTATGTCATTCGAAAGTACCACAGACTGGGTGACTTAACCAGCAGAAATTAGTCTTAAAATTCTACAGATTAGAAGCCTGAGTTCAAGTTGTCAGCAGGCCTCTAACTATGGCTTATAAGTGGCTGTCTTCTTTCTGTGTCTTCATATGGTCTTTCCTCTTTGGGCCTGTGTCCTAATTTCCTCTTCCCCTAAGGACATTAATCTTATTGGATTGGGGTCAACATTAATGACTTAATTTTATCTCTTTAAAAACCATTGTCCAAATATAGACACATTTCATTTATTTACCTATTATTTTTTTAAATATATTTTTTTGATTTTTTTTTCAGAGAGGAAGAGAGAGGGATAGAGAGTTAGAAACATCAATGAGATAGAATCATTGATCAGCTGCCTCTTGCACACCCCATACTGGGGATGTGCTCACAACCAAAGCGACCGGAATGGAACCTGGGACCTTTCAGTCCGCAGGCTGATGCTCTATCCACTGAGCAAAACCAGTTTTGGCTATTTACCTATTATTTTATTATGGCAAGAGTACAACATGAGCTCTATTCTCTTAACAAATTTTAAGTGTACAATAATACAATATTATTGAATACTAGAGGCACAGTGCATGAAAACTCATGCACTGGACAGGGGGTTCCCTCAGCCCAGCCTTCCCCTTCTCATAGTCTGGATGCCCTCAGGGGCAGGAGGCAACTGGGTGATCAGGGGAAGGCAACCCTCCATCACACCGCTGCTGCTACCACTGCCAGCAGCACAAGCCTAGGCCAGCCCAGGTTACCTGAACTTTGGGCGGCCCTGGGTGGCTGGGCAGCTGACATCTGAGTCTTGCCTATGCCTGGGGTCCGCCCTGGGTGGCTGGGGGCTGAGGGGACTGGAGGAATCCAGAGGCAGGCTCATGGAGCAGCTGGGCCCTCCTGGTGGCAGACATGTTGCGGAATCACACTACAGCAAAGAGAGCCTAGAGCAAATTACTGTTGCGGGTGAGGGATGGAGGGAAAGCAAAAATGAGAGATATAAGTAAAGTCACAGTGTTGAGGAAAAATTAAAAGGAAGATATCCTGCAACTTTGCTCCACCAATGGAGCAAAGAAAAAAGAAGACCTCTGTTATTCTGTGAGCACCAAACCACACTGAGTTTGGGTCTCAGACAATTTGCTCAAATGGTCGTTAAAACAAACAGGATTGCAGAGGGCTCCCCTGAGGGCTCCCAGATTGGAGAGGGTGCAGGTCAGACTGAGGGACCCACACCCCATGCATGAATCTTTGTGCACCAGGCCCCTAGTTAATAAGTCCCCATTTCCCCCTTTTTCCACACCCCAGCAACCAATATTCTGGTCTTTGATTTTATAAATTTGATTGTTTCTGATACCTCAAATAAATGGAATAATGTAGTACTTGTTTTTCTGTGTCTGGCTTATTTCACTTAGCATAATGTCCTCAAAGTTTATCAATGTTGTCACACATTGTACAATTTCCATTTTTAAGGCTGAATAGTATTTCATTCTATATTTAAACCACATTTTCTTTATTTATTCATCTGCTGATCAAAGTTTAGGTTGTTTCCACATCCTAGCCATTGTGAATAGTGCTTTAATGAACATGGGAGTATAGATATCTTAGTAAGATCCTAATTTCAATTGTTTTAGGTATATTTACCTACGGAAGTGGGATTGCTGTGTCATATGGTACTTTTATTTTTAATTTCTTGAGGAACCGAATTACTGTTTTCCATAGTGGCTACACATTTGCATCCCTACAGACAGTGTACAAGAGTTCTAATTTCTACATATCCTCACCAACATTTTTTCTTAATAGCAATACTGACATAAATAAGGTTTTGACTTGCATTTCCCTCATGATTAGAGATATAAGCAATTTTTCCATGTATCTGTTGGCCATGTCTTCTTTGAAAAAATGTTTATTAAACTCCTTAGCCCATTTTAAAATTTGGGTTATTAGTTTTTTGTTGAGTTGCATGAACTCTTAATATGTTTTGAATATTAGTTCCTTATCCGCTATATGATTTACAAACATCTCCTCTCATTCTGTAGAATATCTTTTTACTCTGTTGGTTGTTTTCTTTGCTCTGCAGGAGGTTTTCAATTTGTTGTTATCCCACCTGTTTGTTTGTTTGTTTGTTTCTTCATGTTGCCTGTGCTTTTGTTAGACTATGGTTGGTTAACCTGTCTGAGCTCCAAGACTGGCAGGGCAGAGGCCAGTCTTCTGGGGAGCCCCTCAGAGAAGTTGGTGTGCTCTGCACATGGCTCTCCCCTTCCTCTCCCCGGGAAAGCTGAGGGCTAGACTTCTTTATTTGCTCCCCAGAACTCTTTATAGTGCCTTTTCCCTCCAACATGCCAAGTTCGTGCTCACCTTAGGGCCTTTGTACTAGCTGTTTCTTTTGTCTGGAATTATTTTACCCTGCTTTTTGCCTTCTTGTCATGCAGGACTTGTAACATTTATTTATTTACTTATTCCGTGTGTTATTTTTTGTTAATAATAATAATGGATATCACTTGAGAGCTTACTTTGCATGCAGCACTAGACTAAGCACTTATATGCCCCATTTGATAGAAACAGCACCCAGAGTGGTTGAAGACACATAGTTTGGAGTTAGATTGCCTGAGTTCACATCCAGGCTCTATCACATACTTTGGGACCTTGGGAAAGTTATTTAACTTTCCTGTTCCTCATTCCTCCCCACGCCTAACCCCATCAGCAACC